GGGGACACCTGGGACACACCTGGGACACCTGGGACACACCTGGGACACCTGGGGACACCTGGGACACACCTGGGACAGCTGGGACACCTGGGGACAGCTGGGACACACCTGGGACACACCTGGGACACACCTGGGACACCTGGGGACACACCTGGGACACACCTGGGACACACCTGGGGCACACCTAGGACACCTGGGGACACCTGGGGACAGCTGGGACACACCTGGGGGACACCTGGGACACCTGGGGACACACCTGGGACACCTGGGGACACCTGGGACACACCTGGGACACCTGGGACACACCTGGGACACACCTGGGACAGCTGGGGACAGCTGGGGACAGCTGGGGACACCTGGGGGGACACCTGGGGACAGCTGGGAACAGCTGGGGGGACACTTGGGGGGACACCTGGGGACAGCTGGGGACACCTGGGGGGGTCGGACATACCTGGGACACACCTGGGGGGTCAGGCACACCTGGGGACACACCTGGGGACAGCTGGGGGGGGGTCAGACACACCTGGGACACACCTGGGACACCTGGGGGGTCAGGCACACCCAGGGGTGTCACCAGGTGCCCTCCCCCCCCCAGGTGCTGGTGCTGTGCCCGGGCCGGGAGGGGCCTCTGCTGACGGCTCAGGTGGGGCTGCCCCCGGTGGCCACCTGAGGGACACCTGGGACACCTGGGACACCTGTGACACACCTGTGGCACACCTGGGACACACCTGGGGACACCTGGGGACACCTGTGGCACACCTGGGACACCTGGGACACACCTGTGGCACACCTGGGGACACCTGTGGCACACCTGTGGCACCTGCCCCTGGCACTGGTGTCACCCGTGTCACCCCTGCCCCGTGGCACCGGCACCTGGCACCGTGCTGGCCCTCACCTGTCCCCTCATCTGTGCCACACCCGTGTCACACCTGTGCCACACCCGTGTCACACCCGTGCCACACCCGTGCCACACCCGTGTCACACCTGTCCCCTCCCCCGTCCCCAATAAAGCTCCCGGTGCCGCAGCCCCGGCTCCTTGGGGGAGGGGCAGCCCCAGTGCTCCCAGTTCCCTCCCAGTACCTCCCAGTCCCTCCCAGTAACCCCCCAGTGCCCTCCCAGCACCCCCCAGTCCCTCCCAGT